ACAAAGAGATCTAGATCGAGGTCGATTCAATTTTAAACTTATTAATACCAAGTGTTCACAACTTCACATTGAATAATTTCAACCTCAATTGGATAAATTAGTGCCAATTTTCGGTCATGTATATTATCCAGATCCAAGTCTAGTTAGGGGTGTTTGGATCTGATTCTCAAAATTAATCCTGCTCTTTTAGGGAGCAGAAGCAGAAACTGAAGTGTTTGAGTGAAATTCCAGAAGCACTTCTGGTGCTCTAATTTATTCTCAGAATCAATTTTTTTAGAAGCTAGGTACCAGCTTCTGAAAACTATTTCTGATTCTGCTTCTGTTTTAAAAAAGAAACAGAAGCAGAATCAGTTCTAAACACCCTTAGTGTTAATTTGGATAATTTTAAACAAGAATATTTAGCTTTCTAAAAGGAAAATGGAAGAAATAATTCCAAACGTATTATAGAAACGTAGACAGTGGACAAAAATGCACCTCTATTTTGGGTACACTATGTTCAAATATTACATCTTAGCGACTATAAATGTATATATTCACTTTAGTCACATTTTGTCCATGATTATTATTATAGTTATATTTTAGGAAAAACTTCCAAATAAAATCTATATTAGAATTATCTACTTGCATGTCACCATAAACTTACTAGATTCTATAATTATTCATACAAAATTTCTAATTTCATATTATAAATTTTGTTATCTTTCGTACAAAGAGAACTAAAGATGCTTTTACTTGGACTGAAATTTGCTGGTCTAATCTAATACTACCTCCGTCCCAAAATTAACTTCTCGTTCGATTTACGATGCTTGACTGACGATAAAGCAACTCGATCCATGCTCATACTCAGATTATTTTTAGTAAATAAAATTTACATATTCAGAAACTACATTAAAATCGCTACAAAGCCTGATCAATAAAATTTAAATTTGATAAAAATTTGATAAAAAGTAAAAGATTACGAGTGATTCAAGTTGACCAATGAATAGTGACTGTGAAGTTATTTTTTGGACGGAGGGAGTATGTTTAAGTCTGGTCTGGTAAATGTCTGATTTTTTTGGATTCTTATAACTACGGAAGTCAGATCTGGTCTGATGAGTCCAACCCTCCAAGCCATGCAACAATTTTACTTGTAATAGTTTGAACTATAATACTTTATTAGTGTTTCAAAACGAGGTTCAATTCAAGTTCATACTCCGTATTATTATTACATTGTTTTTTGTTCATAATAGAATCCTGATCATTTTTTGCGTCATAAAAACCAACAACCCTAGTTATAATTGGACATAATAGCAATTTTAATTACTACTCTCTATACAAAATTAGATTTCAGAGATTTTTTTTTTGAAGAGAAATTAGATTTCAGAGATTACATTTGTGGAAAATATATGTTAATATATGCGCAAATGATGTAAACAAATGGTGTATAAATATGACCAAGGATTTTTGCTCACATGTGACCGAATATGGTGGAATTTTGAGAAGGATACACCACCAACCCAAATCTTGGTCGCAAAACTGTGCTTGGTAGGTGCGTTGCTCTGGCGGCTGTTGAATTGCAATTTACTCGTTTCAAACAAAAAGTCAAAAACTCTATCATCTTATTTGAGGGAATATGATATGGGGATATTCTTTGCAAGCATGAAATCCGGGATGTAGAGGGAAAATACAAAAACTGTAATCGTCTTATAGCTAGAACCTAAAGCGTTAAAATTCCAACACTTACCAATAGTCATGGGAGAGATACATTTTAGTAAAGGGTCATTCTGGATGTACATAAGATGTACACAAAACTTGAACATTGTCTGTGTACACAGACAGTTAGGAAGATTTTGATATCAAATGTTGCACTTTTTTAAATAAATTGTCTATGTACACAGATAGTTAGAAGAGTTTTGTGTATAATGTGTGTACAAGTGTACTATGTACACTAAGAATTTTTCTTTTAGTATATGTCCAGGGTCGTCTAAAGTAACTTGCCTTAACTTTAATTTGATGCCTTTAACAGTATAATTGAATCATTATGGATCGAGATATTCATAGTTCTGGCCGGAGTTATTTACGATGTTATAAACACGAAAAAGTTTGTTTGTACAAAAAGAATGAGAAATAAGAATATCACAAATGTCACAATGTCCACGGTGCACATATGACATGGGAAAGATTGAAACAAAATATCAGTTAACAAAAATATAAAATATATTCCTCCTTATTTGAACGGTCATATATGTTTTTGGTAAAAATTTCTCTACAATATCAAGAAAAATGTCTAGATGTACACATTGTGATTGACATTAATATCAAAATTATATAAACCCGTAGAAAGAAGAAGAGATAAAGTCTTAATGTGTGGCGAACATCATCAGATAAAGTCTTCCACTGTTTACAAAAAGTATTTCTTAGCTAATGGGTGGCGAACATCATCATACATAGTTACATACACAACAAATATATCATTAATGAATTTAACAATTAATGAATCTAATTTAATGGACTACAAGTAAATATTATTATAAGTATCGTATTTTCAAATAATACTAAGTCAAATTAAACAATGGTTTTTATTACGGTGTAATTTAATATGCCTATGCATAAATAATACCTCACTCGTCCAGTCAAATTAAACAATGGTTTTCATGACTGAGTAATTCAATATGCCTATGCATAAATAATACTTCACTCACCTCGTCCCAAAATTGATTTGTAATTTACGTTTCAACTTCTATAATCATCGACGATCCAGTTAGATTTTTCTCAATGAGTTAGGGATTGTTTACTTGTGACTTAATAAGCTGAATTGAAAGAGTGATTTATTCGCTCAGTCATTGACTAGTGTTTATCAAGGACTTAATGAAAAAATGTACTTATTCGTTCAGATGAAATATGTCTTATTCGTTCAGCGAGATAACATCGCTCTTTCCCTTACATACACTTGTTCTTAATGATATTTCCCTTTTAACCCTATTTCTCCCCGTAAAACATCACCCTTCGTCTCCATCTGATCAACGAGAAGCAAGCTCAGTACACAACACAAGAAATCCTATGATCTTCTTCTTCTTCACAAATTAGGCCTTCATCTCCATATCAGGTTCTTTAGGTATTTTCTTAGGTCATTTTTAAATTCTCTACTCATTCCTATGTTCCTTGTTCTTCTCGTCATCATCTTTTCGTACTTATGGTTTTTAGGTATTAAATTCTATTGTCATACTTTTGCCCCTTATATTAAAATGTAAAATAAAATTTGAAGACATAATTCCTCTTTCCCCCCTTTTCAAAGTGTATGCCAATTCAATTCAATGAGTATGTGTGAAGATTCAATCTCTGCGTTAGTATTTGAAATTCACTTGTCTATATCTTAATTCTTTCTTAATTATTAATTTTCCTCTTATGTGCTTGGTCACTTGCTATCGTAGACAAAATATTTTCATCATAGATGGTGCACAATGAAGCCTACAAAGCATACACTATATGAAGAAAAGTAAACATACCATACATGTGGTAAATTGGTTATTTAACATGATTCAGACGGTTTATTGAGCACACAAAGTAAACAACTTGTTATCTCAGCGTCACTTAATCAGAGATGTCTTAATACAGACAGACATCTTATTCCAAACATAACTTAATGAAAAAATAAGTAAACATGATGGATAGGATCCGCCGTCTGAATGTCGTTGTTTGGGGAGGTTCCCGGTGGACTTTTTTGATGAAATATTTTGAGTATGTTCCTCATCAAGTCTTGTTTATCCACACAAAAAACAGCTTAAAATTCGATCGCGAAGACAGTTAAATAATTTTTTGAAGTTTTTTTTTTTGAAAACAAAAAAAAAAATTGTGCCAAATTATACAAAGAAAATGTCTGTCCGATCGAATTTTGAGCTGAAATTTTTTAAGGATAAACTAGACTTGATGAGGAACATGTTCAAAAAATTTCATCAAAGTATTCCATTCAGAATCACCCCGGCGGCGTTTAGACGGCAGCTCCTCTCTAAACTGCTGGACGTGAGCAATATTACAGGTATATTAGTATATATATTCTTACAAAATCCTTTAGAAAAAGAATACGACAACATTTATATGAAGTGGGTAGTACGGACTACGGAGTACTCCCTCTGTCCCGAAAATAACTTCCCGGTTGGACTTTCACACACTTTTAGGAAATAAATTTGACTTTACTGTAGAGTACACTGTTTAGCACTGTTTAAACTGTTTATCACTTTTTTGATGTAGATAATTTGCCAAATAAGGAAAGTATTGAAGTGTGAAGTTAATTTTGGGACATCGGAAAGTGGGAAGTTATTTTTGGGACAGAGGGAGTATAATTTAACACATCATATATTTCTATAGAGGGTGTTTGGTATATACGTTTCAATCAAAAGGAAAGTATTGAAGTGTGAAGTTAATTTTGGGACATCGGAAAGTGGGAAGTTATTTTTGGGACAGAGGGAGTATAATTTAACACATCATATATTTCTATAGAGGGTGTTTGGTATATACGTTTCAGTCAAAAAATGGTTGTTTGATTTTTTTTAGCATTTTCAATAATTGAAAACACTATTTGGTAAATAGCTGTTCGACACTAGCGTTTTTCGATGGAGTCGCTGAAATGGAAAAACTGCTAGTAGGAGAGTTTTCGGTTAGCGTTTTGAAATATGACGTTTTCTACTAATTTTTCACCAAACAACTACATTACTAAACATCTTCGAACAACCCGTCAACTAATTACGCGCTGACTGAATCTGCTATTTATAACCAGCTAACATAATTCGTCATCCAAATTTGTAAGTTTTTTGTAAGGGAGAATTTGACTTTACACATCACTTTTTGGTTGATATTAGACTTTACACCTCATTTTAAAAAACATTTGACTTTTCACCCTATCATCTAACATTTGTGAAGGAAAATTTCAAAATGAGGTGTAAAGTGAAAGATTTTGAAATTCCCCTTTCTGTAACTATCATATATGCAGCATTTTAAGCCTAGTAAACAGTTAAGGATATTTGCGTAACTTTGCACCCTTCTACATCTTCTTCGCTGGTCTTCGTTCCCACTTCATTATAGCGGATCGGAGAATGAGTACATTCGGAAATTCTGATTATTCTACCAGATAGGAAATATCTCTTGAATTTCAATTCTTCTCCTCACAAGACTCCTATAGACTGTTCTGCTGGTTTGCTTCTTCTCCACTATAGTTTTATAAACTTTCGATGGGTGAAAGTTATTTGAATCGGCTGGTCCGTTATTGAGAAAGACAATGGATTTTAAACCAGTTCCATTTTTCTTAATTTCTGTGCTTGAAAAAAAATAGATATTAAAAATTTACTGTGTTTTCTTAATCACACATCCCAATATTAATTGACAGAGCTGAATCCCATACTCCATTTCTCTGATTTCTTATCCTGGTTGCTGCTGACCCTCGACGAGCCCTAACCTTCGTAAGGTCAAACCATTTTCAATTTTCTTTTTCTTTCTCCCTAAAATGTTTTTTTTTTTTGTTATATAGTTGAGCAAGAAACCACAGGCTTAGCCGTACCAGAATTTTATCGACGGGTTGACAATTTCGTGATTTGGGTAGTTGAAAGTTTAGATCTTTCGCTGAAATTCTTCTGCTTTTTTTTTTCTTGTCGGAGCTTTGTTTAAAAAAAATTGCAGATTTCATTTTATAGGGAAAAAAGCATTGGTTTCTTGTTCTGTCAATGGGAGCTTTAGTTGAGGAGCATTACAGTTTGGAGCTTGATCATGGAACGGGTCTTGGAGATTGCATTGATCTAGGATTTGAGGATGAACTGGAAAGTATGGCTATTGAGGATTCTGTAAGAGTCCTTTTGCAATGTCTAGGTGAGGATATCAACAGAGAAGGTCTCAGAAAAACCCCTTTTCGGGTAGCCAAGGCTCTTCGTGAAGGCACCAAAGGTATCCTCCCTTCCCTATTGATCTGAACCTCTAATTTTACTTGTTTTATAATGCACTTTTGTTTTTATCGACTTTCTGGAACAAATTCATGGTTTTTGTTTATTGGTTTTAACTTATTGAGAAGTGAGAACTCATAGTAATATAGGCCACTTTGATTTGGGATTAATATTTGGTAGCACAAAAATTGATTGAGTCTGGTGAATCTGCCAAAGTTGCTAATGTTATGGCTACAATGGTTGAATTGGCTGAATCTACTTTAAAAAAGTTATATTTAGAATATATTTTATCCATAAAGTAAGCAAAAATCATTGAAAGAAAAGCTAAAAATGATTCTCTTTAGCCAAAAAGAATCTCCAGTCTTTCCTTTTTCACTATTAACCAATTCAATCCAGCGCCTAAAAAAGGAATTAGTGTTAAGTAAAAAATCTGGCTTATAAGATGAATGTTTGGATGGTCTGTTTGAAATTAATGCTTGTGCGAAAATAAAATGACCAAAATTATAGATTATGTGATATCATATTACAACAATTTATAAATGTGTATGTATGTGTTTGTCACTTACTTTGTGTATATGTGAATTAATACCACATCCGCTTGTTTTTAGTTGTTCCACCCTGATGTCTTGAAAGTTTATTGTTGCATGTTCTACTTTTCATTTTAAGCAACTCCTATCATATCAAAAGGCATAAATATCCAGACATAAGAATCCACAAATTTGATCTTTCCTTTTTACCTTTTCATCTATGCCAGCCCTTTGTCACTACAATGTTACAAATATAGAAGGCTAGTCCATATATGATCAACTAAATGTGAACAAAAGGAGTTTTTGCTTGTGCTTGTGTCCGTTAATGAAGGAGCAGAGTCAATGCAGCAAAGTCTGTGTTTTTTAGCCAAACATCCCACGATTAGATTCTGTTTGTAAGTGCTCAATGAGGGAGCACAATCAGTTTTTAAGATTACTAGTATTTTACCCGTGCGATGCACTGATACAAATTACGGAGTATCTTTTATGATATTGGTTATTAGTAATACTATTCGTATAGTACCTAAATTAGGTAAACATGTTTTCTTAAATAAAACTCAAAAGAAATTACCACTTAACTTGAGATAAACTGGATGAAGTAAAAATTTGTAAAGAAATAGCGATGTTCATAAGTTTTCCTATCAATTGTGGTTCCATTGCTAATCTAATACTACCTTTGTTCTCTTTAAATTACAACATTTAACTTTTTGCACAATTCACATATTCTACTTTGACCATATTTTATTTATTTATGTATTATAAATTAATTTTTTTAAAAATATTTTTAAATTCCTCTCATTTTAAAATTTCAAAAACTGAATTTTTATAGTTTTTTACTAATAAGAAATGAAATACATTAATGGTCAAATTTGTATGTTGGTAAGCGTAAAAGTGGACCGTTGCAATTAAAAAAGAAAGGAGGAAGTATTTTCCACATATAATTATCATAACTATTGTTAACCTTAAATGGCAGCACACCAAATGATATTAATGAGTTATTAACATAACTATTGTTAACCTTAATGAGTTATTAGGATATGAAATACTCCGTAATTTTTCTACGGTCAACTTTTTCCATGCAAAGCAATAATATACTACTTCCGATTTTCCGAGTTCCGTCTTAAAAAGGTTTGCCGATTTTTTGTGATCAATGATGACAAACTTGGGACAATATTTTTAATAATTACGGAGTATATTTTTATATAATTTATAAAATCTGTACTTTTCTGAAAATATTTTAAATAATTTTGTATTAAAACACACTCAATTCAACTTTAATTCACCAAATATTGATCACACAATATTGAAAGTGTTATACTTCAAGTAAATAGTGAATGAGTAAGATTACCAAACAACAACAACAAATACCTAACCTCTAATATCTCTAATAGATATAAAAACTACACTTTTAAAATAAATAGAGATTATTTTAAATTAGGATGTTTTTACTTAGACGGTAACTTTCTAGTCTGGCCTGGTCTGGTTTTTTTGTATTTTTATAACTAGTCAAGTCTGGTTTGGTCTGGTCTGATCTGGTCTGGTCTAATTTCTTGGTATTTTTATAACTATCCAAGTCTAGTCTGGTCTGTTCTGATCTGGGACAAATTCCTAAAAGTCCAATTTTAATTTTTGTATAAATGTTAAGGACACAAAATTTGATTTAATTTAATTATTTGGGCCCAACGTTAAGCTTGTAGGCACGACATATAGGTGTAAAACAAGACTAAAGCAAATCTTGGTCCAATACAATATCAAGCATCTTCATAATCTTATAAGGTTCATATTTTAAACTTTTATTTAGATATTCTACGTATTTCATTAGGAGTCCCCAATTGTTCTTGGTTTGTCTACGTTAGTAAAATCACATTTTCTTCTTCTTATTAACTCGATCGTTAATGGAATACGTTCATATCATAATCGTATGTAATTAATAATATAAATAAAGACGGTAATAATCTTGTAGTAATATATTTACTCAATTACTTCGTATTTTATAATAAGAACAGTTTTTTAATCTACATTTTATTCGTTTCTATATTATATGATCTCCTAACTAAATAGTTAGAGTTCTAATTCATTCGTTTCATTTTGGTAATACAATTTAATTGGTGTTTTATGATGAATTGATGATTGAAATGGAAAAGAGATCGACAATATTGAATCTATCTTCTATACTAACAGGAAAAAGGAAATTCAAGGCAATATGATCTCACCAATTAAGACACCAATCTTAACCCAGCGTAGTTCTGCATTTATATATGCATCTTCATAATTTTGAGAAACATCTTTCTCATATTCGGCCAAAAAAAAATAACAGCACTCAAACATCTTATACGTAGTATATCGCATCTTCTAGGATCAGTTGCATGCCAAAATATATTATATACGGCCAATACAGGCCAGCCTTTTTTTCTTACAAAATATATATGGCCAACGGTTATTAGGCAGCGGTTGTTATTTGTTAATCGTACGGTCGTAACTTTTGGGGCAGAAATAGTTATGGCTTTGGTTTCCCTTTTTATATTAGTATAGATATCCGAACATTTCTAGACTAGTTTAGGGGTATCCTTTATTCTCTTGTATTATGCTCACAAATAGCAAGTTTATAAATGAAGAGGTTTGTGAACGGTGAGGCTTCTATGGTCTATAATAGTACTTGTAATGTTATATCGTTATTCTTTACTAAATTCCTAAAAAGTGTTAACAAAGATGAGGTGCTTCGTGAATGTCATCATCACCGGCCTAGATGGCCAGCCAGACAAGTTAACCTAAACTCATCTGCACCCATCAGTACAAAGGTAAAATAGTAGTTTTATGTTTCTTACATGGGGAACTAATAAACTGTCTTCTTTACGAAACTAGATAGGATAGATCATGGTGTGGATTTCTACTGGATTATCTACTATAAGCTTTTGGAAGTTCATTCTTCTCTTTATAAAATTTGAAATTGCAAAAAAAATGATTAATATGTAAGTTGCATTATTTTTCTAGCTTTTGAGGTAACCTCCTACTCTTGTTTAGAAGAACTGCGTGATTTAGAGCCTAATTTTGTAACGTTAAATCTGTCTGAGTTTTATCAATTTACTAAAAGTGTATTAAGAATATATTTTCTTAATTTGTTGAGTACTGAAGAGCTTTACACCTAAAAATATGGGTAGAAGTGTCATATCTTCCATTTTTTAGTACTACCACTTTTATTATTGTTATCATCATCATAAATCTCATTCAGCAAGCCAATAAAGTAAGTTATTGTTTGGTGAAAATCTGGCTAATGAGCCAAAAACAATGTCCTGAGCACGCAGTAATTCTTCTATTACAACAACATCCAAGCCTTGATAATTCTTCTATTAATGCACTGAAAACATTGTAAATAGCAATTGGCATGTAGGGACATGTTTGATAAATTTCTGCCCCTTTAAACAATCATAGATGAAGAAATTGGCATGACTCACATATGATAACTTATTGTTGCATATCTTTTACAGGCTATAGACAAAAAGTGAATGATGTTATACACGGTGCTTTATTCCCAGAAGTTGGGTTGGGAACAGGGGTGGGTCAGGCAGGTGGGGCCGGCGGGCTTGTGATTGTCCGTGACATAGATCTCTTCTCTTACTGTGAGTCTTGCTTACTCCCCTTCCAGATCAAGTGCCATGTAGGATACGTACCCTCTGAACACCGTGTTGTAGGACTCAGCAAGCTCTCCCGTGTGGCAGACATTTTCGCCAAACGCCTTCAAAACCCCCAACGCTTATGTGATCAGGTGTGTGGCGCCTTACAACAAGCGATCAATCCAACGGGTGTCGCCCTCCTCTTACAGTGCTCCCACCTCCATCTCCATCACGGGTGGGTCAAGGTCCAAGTCACTTCTGGGTCTGGAGTTTTTGAGGATGATAAAGCTTATGTGTGGTCCGACTTTCTATGCCTTTTAAAACTCAGAGGAATATGTTTAGACGCGAGAGATGGTGAAAGACCCTTTTGTCCCTCCAAGGTTTCGTGCAAGACGCCTCTGCCGCCGCTGAATTCGGTTATGACTAGCGCGGTCGGGTCCATTCTTCAGTCTCTGGGTGAAGATCCATTCAGGAAAGAGCTTTTAGGAACGCCGACCCGTTTTGTCAAGTGGTTCATGGATTTTAAGAATTCTGATTTGGAGATGGAGAAACCGGATGGAGGATTAGTTAGGGGCCTTTTGGATCCAAAAATAGAAATCAGGTCGGAGGTGAACTTGACGTTCTGGTCACAGTGTGAACACCATCTTCTTCCATTTTATGGGGTTGTGCATATAGGATACTTATGTTGTTCAAATAATGGAGGTGGAGGGGTAGGAGTCAAACCAATGCTGCAGTCTATAGTGCATTTTCATGGTTATAAACTGCAAGTGCAGGAGAGGCTAACGAGACAGATAGCAGAGAGTGTTGCTTCTGTCCTAGGGGAGGATGTAATGGTAATTGTGGAAGCAAGTCACACTTGCATGATATCCCGAGGGATCGAAAAAGTCGGGAGTAACACTGCCACGGTTGCTGTTTTGGGACGGTTTTCCCGAGAGCCCGCTATAAGGATGGAGTTTTTGCAGGGTATTCCAAACTCTTGTGTGCTGAAGGAAAACAGTTATAATTAGGCTACAGTAGAAATACACAATGGTTCTCCATTAGCAAGCGAATGATTCAGTTGTCTTTCTTTGGTGGCCAGATATACGGATTGAATAAAACGCTCAAACAGTGAACATTTTATTGTTTGTGCATGTGGATTAATTTTCACACAGCCCATTGCGGAGAAGTCGCAATTTCTCAAAAACATATGTTTCTATATATTCATGGGATGGGGGTGGGGGTTGTGGATTCTCCTTTTGGAATTTTGGGAGTTACCTTCAATGTCCACATGGACCACATGTATTTGATCTTCATGCAATGAATATGTTGTGTGATGCAACCAAGTATCAGTTAGAAGTGTGTGATACCCTTTCCTTTAAATCGCTAGATGTGCAACTTGGCTCTGAAGTTATCAGTTCGACAAAGCCGCTAGTTTCTCACCAAGACCAGTCTTCTACATTGACACATCTCCCAATAATGATTTTTCCACCAGAGGTCAGTCGGGAGTCGGAGGACTCGTGATCCTGTGGTGGGTTAATAGTTAAGAGTCTGATACCCAAGGGCGTGGCTAAGGCAGTAAGGCCCTAAGAGTTGTCGAGGTCATGACATACCTCAAATTTTGATAAAATCTTTTACTCCATTTTTTTTTAAAAAAACTTTTTACTATTCTTACCTCTCATTATGCTGGTTCAGAATACATACTCCTGTCAAAGATTTGGTTAAATTGACTTTTCTTGATTAATGGTGGTCAATATTGACCAATGATATTTTTTAATACAAAATTATTTAAAATATGAAAATTATATGAATTACACCCAAATATAATACATAAAATCATTGTCTAAACTTTAACGCCATTGACCAAGAAAAGTCAAATTGGCCAAATATTTTAGGATAGAAGGAGTATATCCCAAAATCAATAAAAACATTCAAAAGACATGCTCAATGAGTCAATGAGTACAGAATAAGCAGGAGATAGTTTAATTAGAGTGGATGCTACAAGCAAGCTCTAGGAGCAAGGTGTAATAGGGAAGTCGGTTAAATAAAGTATTGTATCTTACTAACTTTGGCGTAGTACTTTTCAATAATTTATTAAATTGGAATTCCGATTGAATTTTAATATGAATTTTTTAGACACAACGGAGCTTGGAGGCAGTAGGAGTGTATTTCTAACCGCTAATAATTAAGTAAACAAAGCTATTTATAATTAAGCTCATTTGTAATGGGAGCAGCTTCTTGTAAAATATCTATAGTGGAAGACTTGATCCTTTTGGTGGGAACCTTCCTCGGACGATCGCTTTGCAGAGGGAGATGCCTTCGTGCATAGTCTTGGACTTGGGTCGGGAGCCGGCCCAGCCCGCTATTGTGCAGGCCCAACCCGGCCCGGTGAACCGGTTATGGTTCCAAGCCTGGGCCCGGTCCCGGGGGTTAGGGTGGGCCGGTCCCGGTTTAGCCCACTCTTCGGGTCTTCTTTTTTTGGTTTTTTTCATTTTTTTGGGCTTTTTCCTGAGTTGGGCTGGGTGTTTTGGGGGGTCGGAGGATAATTAGAAAAGAAAAAAAAATAACATGGATCTGGCCCGACCCGATGGTAACCTGGGCCGGTCCCTCACCTCAAACATCAAAAGCCCAGCCGGGCCTAGGCCCGACCCAACCCGGGTTCAACACTATTCATGCATCAGCTTCTTGTAAAATATCTTTTTTTTTTTTTGGAAAACAAGAAAGTAAACATGTTTTTCATTTTACAGAAAAAACAGAGAAGATTTGTATTGGTAAAGGCCCCAGAATTTATTATTAGTTTAGAACAAGTAACAAAGGAGAGAATTTCGTTGGAAGTTTGAAATCTGATAACGAAGAACTAAATCACATTTGGGTTTGACCCAAATAACAGTATAAGCCAAGAGTTTTATTCTCTCAGAATAAAGCATCCATAATCCGTATACAGATGGAAAAGTAAGCGAAATACATGTGATAGAGTTGGGCATTTGACAAAATAGTACACGGAACTGTTTGTTGAAAAGTTGGCAAACGAAATTCAAGTTGGCCACTACATTATATGATCATTATAATTAAGAATTTTGATATGCGTGTGACAGGCAGCACCAGAAGGCAGTAGTTAGCCCTTCATGACATTATTGCTTCCAAAGCATCCTTCACGCAACTGTATTTGAATTCAAAGCCCAAATCCTTGGCTCTAGCAGGAATCACCTTCTGCCCTTCCAAAACCTATAAACAGCAGCGTTTTTAGCACGAGAAAGGGTCTCTGACATAAGCCAAACATGTCGTACGAAATGAGGTTCCATTCTAAAAGTTTAACTTAAAGGAGTAATACCTATGACCTTATACCTATTTTATATCAAACCAACAGGCTCTTTAGCCTAAACTATACAGAAGAACTTGAAGATATATAAATGGGCAAAACAAACGCTATACAACAATCGGGATGGCTTTAAAAAATATTAAGGTTTGGGTTAGGTTAAAATAATACGAGTAACGTAAAGATTATATACTAATTCTATTGCTTTACATGAAACTGGTACAAGGCAAATATTTCAACAAGAGAACTTGCGGAAAAACAAGCTTGTTGGTGCTTACCACGGTGGCACCTTCACCAAGAATTGTTTTCAGAGCAAAATCAGGCACTGGAAGCCACGACGGGCGGCCTAGAACAGATCCCAACTGGCTGCACATCTCTCCCAGCCTTACAGGATTTGGCGCCGTTCCGTTAATGACTCCTGTTAGGATATAATAACCAAGTCTTTATTAATAATTCAGAGTAACCGGAAGCAACAATATACTTCAGTCTTTTTGCTAGGAAAGGGGTCAGTTGTTCCTATGACCTGTGTAGGATTGATTGGATAGTGCTTCATATATGAGGTTCACCAGGTCATCAATATGAATCCATGAAAACCTGCATAGCACCCATATCTATTATGCGAATCAGAACCGTGACATCTTGATCTGACAGCTCTTACGTGACAAGCAACCAGTCAAAGTGGAAGGAAATAAGTGTTTTAAAAACAATGCATACCACTGGTTTCCAGACCCTATAGGTCCCCCGGCAAACATCATGAAGAGCGGAACCATTTTAGCTTCAAAGGGAGATACACAATTGTTAGTAGTGTTTCTATTTTAGCAGGCAGATGTTGCCTAATGTTTTGAGATCAATCTCTTTTACCCCACCCCATATCAATCCATTCCTTTTTTAAATTTTGGAATATCTCCCCCTTGTATCTTAAGACTGTTTGGATCTTGGAAACTGGGGTATAAGCAAGGTTACGTTTAGATCCTAGTACATGATAAACAAAGGGAAGTAAATGTTTAGAAAATATATTTTCTTATGTTCGGATTTATTTTCAAAGATGAAATATGAGTGATGTTTTAATTTTTTTTACATTAGTTTAGATTGTTTATTATATACTACGTATATAATACAAAAAATAATTAAAAATGGATGTCCTCAACATTTCTCTCCGTCCGAATTTCCCAAATACTCTCCTCCCTATTTCTTTACTTTGCATATTCTGGGTTCCAAACACACTATAATCTAAATGGTTCTTTTATTTGGTTTAAGCTAGGATAATACCAAAGAAATCCAAAACTTTTAAATCTTGCAATTGTTTAGATTTCTTAGACAATGTATTTAAAATGAAATGAGTTTGAACAGACATTTGAAAGACATACTGATGTATTGAGTTTAAAGGCATTCATATTTCCCTCAGCAAGGATTGGAGCATAGTCTTTCTGTTATAAAATTCCTCCATATATTCCTTCCTATTTTCTTTCACTAGCATTTCTTTTAATTCCAAATGGACTCTTACAGTATATTGTTAAAATCCATCTCCTTCAACGAACAAGGAAGAGTTGAATATATTATCCCTTCCGCATACACCATTGTGTGAGCGCATGAAAACGTACCTAAAGCTCCACCGTCTTTTCCAAGGACCACACCAATTCGGATGAGTGCTACTCTGACATCCTTACTAACATTCAGAGCACTGGCTTCCCATTCTCTACAAACCTAGTAATTGTTTTTCTCTAAAAGTTGGTTATGAATTACAATGAACAACTAAGGATGAACTGTTAATTTGTATCCTTCAGGTTTACATAGTAAATGGATTACCTCAGCCAAGTAATCATTTCCTGATGCACTTTGCTCATCAAAAATTTGTGTCTCACTTGTACCTATGATTTGATTTGAAATCAATTAAATTACATAATCACACATATAAGAGGGCTTTCCTACTAATACTAAAACAAAATTCATGAATACAAATACATTTATATGGTCAATCTAGTCAATGCAATAAAACTACCATGTAAGTAAACTAAAATATCATCATAGTCACTGCGATCACTATATAAATAACACAATTTTATAATCAATAAAAAAATACTACCAGTCATTGCACAATAAAAAATCACATTTTTTGCTCATTATTTTTATTTATCATAAACCGGTCACCCAATGACCCCAAGCATAATACAACTCTAAATGCAGCTGTAAAATTAGAGTTTATAGAGTTTAATATGGAAGGGGAATTGCATACCATAATAACCAACTGCTGTTGCACTAACCAAAACATTAGGACGTTGACCATCTGATGAATTGTTTATCAAATCCACAACCTACAGATATATGGAGATTCTTCAGCTAAGAACACGCCAAAGCTAACTGATAGATTTGCCATTTTCAATTACAAATGAGCTTGGAAACTAGAAAATGAGTTGGCTGTTTTATTGTTGCCAGTCAAAATTGATTTAGCGGCATAGCGCATGTTTGGATCCATAAGTGCTAAGGGGATGGGTGTTAAAAAAAATTGATTTCTTATGTTTGGGGATTTCACCTCGAAAACACAAATAAAAATGAAATATGATTAATGCTAAGGATTTTTTTCTTGCATATTCAGATTTCTTATGCTTAAGCTTTATTTTTATTTTTCCCTTCAATATTTTCCTATATTTTCTTTCTTAGCACTTTTTGAGTTCTAAATGGACCCTAAGCAAATGGAAAAATAAAACCTTTGAGGTGGTCTTGATCCTGCTATCCTTAATTTCCTTCTTGATCTGTTACAGTATGATATTAACAAAACAATAATCTCACAGATAAAGCATTATGCATCATAAATATGTGAAATATTTAGTTTTTTGTTATCTTAAAGAACAAATTTACACCTCTGCTGACCATCTTGTACTTATGGGCAATCCAGCCAGATTTACGACAGCAGTAGAACCTTCAATGCATTTTTTCCACTGTGGCTCCTCTGCAATTACAATTGCTGGAAAGTCTTTCTCTGCACATTTAATTTTAAAACAAACATTTGGTACGAAATAGCAGAGTTATTTGAAATGAAGGGTAGAAGAAAAGTGAGGGAGATTCAGATTTAGTGCCAGAGACAGCTATCATGCAAAAGAGGTGAACTTAGATCTGAAATTAAAATAACCATTACCTTCTTACCAGGGAAAATTGATTGAGCTTTTGATCTAGACCTCGTGAGCACACGAATTTGATGGTTTTCTACACTTGAAAGGCAGACAAAACAACATATTTACCTATTTAGTAAATCAAATCATGCAACATTTGGAACAATATATTATAACAACAACTATACCAAGAAAAAAATAACTACACAGTCAAGGTACACTTGTTACGCAACTTTATACTTCCACAAGAACAAAACATGTAAACGTCAAATGAAAGTATCAGTACCGTCATGCAATCTCTGCACTAATCTTTTACCAATAAACCCAGTAGCCCCCGTCACGGATACAATCATCTGGCTTTCCTGAATAAAATGAGGTTGGCATATTAAAACAATGTACCCAAATGTGATTTTCTGATACAGTGATACTAAAAGCTTACACTATCAAAACAGGACTAAAACATAACACATTTCTACATATGGGATAGCTGTTTTTCCCCAATAAATATGAGTATATGACTCATTCATTGCTAAAAAAAGAAAGCTTAACTATTTTTATTCTAAAAATGAGTTTTTTTAACTGTGATTCCTCATCCCAAAATGGATATAAACATCACACATGCACATTTGACATCCCTCCAAGTTGTCGTATTTTAATAATAGATGTACTCTAAAATTAAGATGCTACATTCCTAATGTACATTACGCAACTTACCTCATGGAAATTAGACTTCTTGTTAGCTCTTCTGTGTGTAGAAACATTTACACGCTATATAGCTGATCAAACATCCTATGGACAATTATATTAGTCTTTATGACTTTATCACATATTCACATTTATCACTAGTTCACTACTGACTGTTGCTGATTTACTATGCAACTAAAATAAAAACAAAAACTTATCAACATAACTGATAGAAGGAAGTAAGGAACCAAAAGAAATGCTGATAAGCAAAGGTAAATGGTTCAACCTCATTAGTTGATGAACAGAAAACATGTTAGCAGTTAGAGGAAGTAGCCAACATAGTACCTTATTAAAAGAAACAGATTCACCATTGGAGCTGAGACACCAAACTCTCAATTTCTTGTGCCCCTTTTCCTGAAAATGACCGAGTTGTAAGTGTAGAATTAAAGTGTAAGTCGAAAGTTTTTTAAAAAAATCAACATTTATTTGCTATTTGGATCTTGTTTACACACAGGGAAGGAGTGGGAGATGTGAAGTGGAGGAGAAATGGAGGCTGCCCAAGACAAGGTAGCCGCGGCAGAAGTTGCTCTGCAAAACTCCATTCTTCATCCAAGAATTGTTTGGCTTCTTTTAGCTCCTTGCTACTTAGCTATTTTTTTTAGCGTATGGCGGAATCGGAAGAGTTCCCACCGTGGATGAATTTGAGCCCTACAAAGCATTGCTTGATTTCATTTAAGCGAAGTTTGGATCACAATTCATGACCATAAATTTTGATTTTTGTGTGGTTTAGTAGTATCACGCTGTTGCCTGTAGCCTTGTAGTAAAGAATTACTTGGACTTCACATGGAATAAAATATTAAAATCATGTGATTGAGATTTATGTTTAGAAAAGATAATTAATTTATCTACATGTTTTCTTACGTTAAATGAAATTATCAACCTTTTTAACATTAGATAAGAAAATTGGAAAAAGTTTTGCGGAAAAGATAGAGTATGATTTTTTGGAGAAAATTGCAAAAAAGGTACTCTCCTGGTCTCAATATTAATTCATTTGCATGTAAATTAAAAGGGTGTAAATTGTATGGTCGAAATGTGTGCAGATTGTGAAGAAAAATAATATGATTCATTAATTCTTTGTAATGAAAAATGAACTTTGCTTTGAAATGAATCAAAAGGGAAAAATGAAGATAAAATGAGAACAGGAAAAATATTTATGATAATAAATAACGTCGCAAATAATAAAATTTAGTGAGAATGAATGTTGCAAGTTTGCAACAAATGAATTTGGAAAAAAAATAAGGAATAATGGAATAAAGATTACCCCGTAATATTTTTTTTAAGTTTTTCAAGGAGATCAATAGATATAGAATTATGTAAAAAGAGTGCAAAAATAAGGGGAGTGGATAAAAGGCATTAAAGACAACATGAAAAAAAGAAAACAAACTCAAAAGTTATGGAAATAGTAAAGCACTTCCTGAAAGTTATTATGGAAAAAATAATAAAATATGAAAGAAACATTGTACAATCTAATTTTTGGAATTTATTTAAACATAATTTGAAAAAACATAACACTAATTTTAGAATATGCATGTCATTGAGCACTCATGAGCGGACGGCTCTCACCTAGGGGTCTCTAGGCTTGCGAAGTTCTTTTTGGGTTAGCGATTCCATTCGTTCGACGAGGACTGATCAGAGAGTACTTGGATGGACCGCACGGCAGAACTCAGATGACTGAGAGCGGTGTGCAAATCGTCGACAAAGCAAAGCGAGAGGACAAAAGGTAGAGATGGAGGACAACCTTGAACAAAAGGAAGTTGGATCGCTGGCTAAGGCGTATGGGAGAATTGAGAGGAATGATTAGGACGAAGTTTTGATGATGGAGGCTATGGAGTCGAGGGCTGCAGATGGAATCCGAGCAATGGAGGATGAAGATGAAGTGATGATAATCCGCCCCCCTCATAAACCGCCGCCATGGAGAATCTGCGAGACTAGGGTTCCCGTCGTCGTCATGGGTCAGCTGATCTATTTGTTTATCTTTTTTAATTTCATTGTATTCGGGTTTAGTTTTTTAATAAGGTACTTTGTTCTTATCGTTTTGTTTTTGGTTAAAGTTCATGGTACTAGGTTTATTACGATGACTGGAGTTTCGGCTAAATTTGTTATGGTTAGTGGGGGGGTCTATTTGTTCAGCAATAGCTGTATTAAGTCCGTCTAGTGGTTAGCAATTTGTATGCTCCTTTAGGGGTGATAGTCACTATATCTAATCGTAGGGCTATTAGTAGTGGTTGAAAAGTGAAAGTTGTAGTCAGTATTGGTCACTTTGATATTGATGTAATGATCATGATTATAATAATAACAATATAGGTGGTTTCCTCTTGAATATGCATGTTGAAGAAAATTAAGAGACTGTGTAATCCAACATTATTCAAGGTTGTTTTCACTTTTTTATCTCCACCCAATTATCCAACATTCCACCCACTTTTATACTCATCCATGTTTGTGAAAGTTTATTTGTCTGTAAGTTCCATTCATAGACAATATTTTGTTTGTGCAAAATTTGCACAGAAAAAATAACACATATTTTGTCTGTGAACCGGATTCACAGACAAAAACAAATCTTCACAAACATGATGTATAAGGTATAAGAGCGGGTACGTCAAGCAATATTGAAAATTAAAATACGTATTTACCATTTTACCATTTCACATTTTAACCGATCAACTTACAAGGCTCTATCAAAAAAAGTGATCAATTACAAGGCTATCATTTTCCAGATTCACAGTTCTAAGAAAAGTTTTTGTCATTTCTAGTCCTCCGATAATTATGTCATTGACATTTTTCATACTCGACTTTGAGTTTTTCTACTTCTAGTCCTTCGACTGTTGTGCGAATGACACTATTGGTGCATGTTTTTGAAAATTTCTACATTTAGTCCTTCGACTTTAATAAAAGTGATACTTTTGGTCATTCAATTATTATAGTAGTGACATTTTTAGTCATTCACTTATTGTATCAAAATCATATTGGAATGATTAAAAGTGTTAATATGGTAATACTCATGGACTAAATGAGGGAACTGTTAAAGTCGAGGACTAAAGTGTCTCTTGCCCAACTGTCGAAGACTATAAATGAAAAACTTGAAAGTCGAATATGAAAAGTGTCCTTGACACGATAGTCGAGGAACAAAAAATGAGAAAATTTTGAAGTTTTATTGTCTATAACCTGACTACAAATTGGACTGTAATTTTCTATTTTGATCTTATATATTTAAGTATGACAAAATTTGATCTGATCGGATAAAGAGAAGTTGTTACGGAAGTAAAACAATACGGAGTATCTCAAAGAGAAACACATGTATGAGAGTGTTTTTTCTTCTTCTAAGTTTACTAAAGTATAATATAAATGTATAGTAGTTTGTATTCTTAATTGTTTCATGTACGACTAATTACACGCGTTCTATGTTCCTAACGCAAACATTGTGAATGGTCTATAATTTCAACCAACTTGAAATTGATTAAATTTTCAGTCAGTATTAAATATGATTGCTAACCTAATTCTTTTAAAACAATTCCAAAAGTAGCATAATGGATTGACTTTTGGTAGTATCGCAAAAGTAAAAAATGTTATCATATCAATTCATAACATTTACGACTGCCTGCGTCTCAATTTTCTTATCTCATTTACGACTATGACTCTATGAGGGTCAATGGAAATAATTGTTCTCTCTTCTCTTCTAATATATTTAATTTAGTAGTAATAACTAAAACATACGGAGTACATATTAAGGAACTCCAATACAACTATTATATTACTAAAAACATATCCGAATAAGGTAGAATATTGATTACATGAATACTGAAATGATCAAATAAATTGAAATGGATGTAATAAATACTTATTGCTCCCTTCCTTACTTAATGACTTAATGACTAATCAAGCTTTTTTCAATATCTAATTTATTCATTAAATTTTTACCACAGTCAAATGTGATCTTTGTCATACATTCAATGTGCTTTCTAAATTTTGTAAATCTTAATTATTAATACTGATTTAAATCTTAAATATTTAACTTCAATTACAAAATAATCTGAAATGTGAACTTTAAACTCCGATGTAGGTGGTGTTGAACTGAGAACGTTAGCGTTAAAATTTAAAAAAAAAAATGAAGGAGTTTCGTATTGAGAGGGGGGAAGACAAATTATATCTATATATATTACATAACACAACTCCAGTAAGGAGCAGTCTATAACAGAATACAAATATATGCACAAGTTCCTACATCTTAAAGCTATAAACTAACCAACAATTCTCATAGATTGAAGCATACAAAGTTCAAGTCAGCATTATCCCTCCCATCCCGGGAACAAAAACGGGACAATTCATCTCTCCAAGTCTTCTAATTAGTACGCTCAATACCTTCTGTTTATGTTTTTTCCATAACGCTATCGCTGAGAGTCATATGAGTGATGCCATGCTGTTGTTTCTCCAGCCAAAGGATCTCCGGCGTGTGACGACGGGAGGAGTGAAGTTAAGTCCACACATCTCCTTGAGAGCTTCTCCTTGCCCGGAAAAACCAATTAGCTTAGCAACAATTGCTGCACTCTCTTTCACATGATTCACATCTGTTTCGCTCCAAACACGGTGGGCTAGATTGTGTCTTCTTTGTTTTGAGTTCAATGTGATACCCCATTTATCATAGACCTCATTTCTTTCATCTACCATTAAGGTTTTATTGATAAGACTGCGAAGCAACGTTCTTTCATGCTGAAGAGCTTTTAGGCTGTCATGCCAATAAAAGAAAAGAGTTACCTTTTAGTCTGATGAGAGAATATTAAATTGCTCATTTACATTGTATGGTCAGTTTTTCATGCATAATCATAGTTCTTTGTACGTAGTATATCTTAAAGACATAATGAAATGAAAAAGAAATACTTTTTAGAGTTACATTTAAATGCTAAACATTTTAAAGTAGAGTAATCAGTTCTTGAATATTCATGGATAGAAAAGGAAAGTATACCTTGATGAAAGCGTGAGCAGTTTACCAGCTTGAACAACAGTGTTTCCCTTGGAAAATGATTCTTTGAGGAAGGAGAGCCTTCTAATCTCAACCTCCATGTAAATGGAGTCCGTTGGATCACCTTTAAACAGCAGGAAGAAATATGTTCTGTGGATCAGTGATACATTACAAGTCTGCCAAAGTTCAATTATCCTTTTCTGCATCCTTTCAAACTCTACAGGCCAATCAGAAGAAGCCGCCAGTTGATCCAATAATCCTACATCCTTCACATTCCCTGCTGAGCTATTATCATGGATATTTGCCTTCTCAACCTTGAATGGAGTTTAAGTCAAAGAGTTAAGTCTCTTCATTTGCTAAACAAAAACAAATTTACAATGCTCTAAAAGTGCTAGGTGGAAGGCCTACTGGGGCAGGCCTACTAGGATTGAGCAGAGTAAAGGAAGGATGAAACAGAGCGAATCCAGGGAAAAGAAAAAAAACTTCAATATGCTTTTATATCCCTTCAAACATGGGATACATGTAGTTTACGTTGTTCTCTTTTTAACTCATCTTCCTTGATCTACATTCAAAAGAAAATGACTTGACTAACATAACCCCAGTCTCGCTTGAATTCAATGTCATTCCCATTTTCCATAGCCCATCTACAGCAATTATGTGACTTAAGGCTATACAAAACCCACAATTCGCACTTTCAATTTCATCAAAAAGAACAGCATGAAAAGGTCAGAGTGAAGTTCTGTGAGCCACATTATTTTTTCACATGCAGTTACCGTAAAAAGGGACTAAAAAGATAACATCTTAAATGATAATAATAACAATATAATAATAGAAATAATAATAATAATAATAATAATATAACAATAATAATAATAATGTCATACTTGCAGAATGTAAGAAATATATAAGCCAAAAATAACATGTTTGGCTTATGGCCTAAACATATCTAATGGCTCACACCTAGGTGGGTAAAAGACAGGTCCTAGATGAAGATTTCAATAACAGTTAAAAACGTCAAGGAAAGCTCTATAATCCACACCTGATGAAGCTTAGCCATATCTTTCAGACCAGCAACAAAGGTGTCAACACTTGGGATTTCCTCTTTACCACGGGCACTGCTTTTGCTTGTAAGCTTATCTATGAGAGTAGTAGAATTGGAAGACCGTGAATTGTTTCTTGATAGTTTAGTTTTGCTGGCATCAGAATAAGTTGCCTTACACTCTTTCATTTCTAAGCCTCCCTCTAGTCTTTGAGTGAAATCTTTCTCAAACCAATTGTGAAGTGTTGTCTCACATTTTTCAACCATCTCAGAGTCATGCATAAGATTTGCTCTGCAGCTTCTGCTTTTGGTCAACTTAACGCTTCTAGAATCCTTCACACTACTACTAGACACGGAAAGCTTGGATGATTCATTTAAACTACTGATACCACTTGCTTGTATAGGTGAACTTGGCGATACCTCGTGATCACTACTACTGCCTTGTCCATCATTGGACACTCCAACCACTGGACTTCCTTTGTTTGGTATCTCATCAAAATTTATCTGTTCTTGTTGGTTAGACGTAGCAGAGTTTATTCCATTTTCTGAAAAGGATATCGAGCATTCATCCTCACATGTGGTGTCTTCAAGTGGTTTAAAAGAAGAATTGCATTCTAGCTGCAAGACAAAAAAGTATATATTAAATAGGGCCTAACTTGCCCCACACAAAGAGAGCTTTAACCTGCGTACTTGTATATTACACACATATTTGGTAAATATTCAATGTACACTTAACATGCCCCTCACGGAGAACCGGATTGAACAATTTGCAAGTCAATAAATGGGTCAAAATGAACATAAATAGGTTACCCTAAATTATGGGTAACAAATATGCAAACCGTTCAAATGAAGTGTATATGAGACACTTCATTGTATAAAGCAAATGCTGTTCTGAGCTTAGTTTTTTTAGTTTTAAGAGAGAGAGGGAGAGAAATATTAGTATAGAACAAACCGTTTTGCTTGAATCTTGATCACTTTCATTCAACCGCAACAAATTGCCAACCCGTGATTGAGCAAAGTCACGTTGTTTTGTTAGTTCTTTAATCTCTTTCTCCAACTGCAGCAGAAGCGATACAGACTATGATGTGAATAACCTTCCAAAATTATCAGGGTTTGTAGCATATTCAGGACTGGTGTTTTGACTGATTGAAGCGACAATTATGTTTTACAAAAGAATCAGCTCTCTTTCGCATGAGATATTAGGGCCATGTTTCAACCAGGATAATGGTAGGTAATGGAAAAAAGATGCCAACTGAAATGGTTTTTTATATTTTATCTACCTTGGACAATACAAAAGAAAATCAAATTCAATTAAAACTTCAATGACTTGCAAGTATTAGATCTATATAAATAAAATGAATTTGCACACATATATAAAGCTGATTTACTGAGTTTGAACTTCTTCTTTTTCACCAAAACTTTATTTCCTTCTATTCTCAGTTTCCAAACGGACCCTATAGCAGAGTTTAAAAAATTAACTTATCATGCTGAACCATGACTAAGTGCAAACTATAGATATGATGATTTTATGGAAAAAGATTTGAAATAATGACACATATATGGATAAAATAAAAATGATGGATAAAAATGTAACATTTTCACAAGCACCAACCCCAATAGTATTTTGAAGTCACTATAGTGAACGGTCATATCTTTGTCAATCAGCTCTATTTTAATAAAATGTTATGGGAAAACCCTAAAATGATTTTGATCGGCCACGCCATTTTAACTCATGGTGGTGGACTGATGGTGTTCTATGAATGTATGGTGCAAAAAAATATGTTTGGGAAGTAAAATGTATCAAGACTTCACTTCTCACTCCGGACGGGACGAAAACAAATTGAATGGGGAGAACAATAACCTTTTCGATCTGCATATCTTTCTTCCTTAACAAAGACACATGATCGCAACATGTTCCTGGAGGAGTTTTGAGTTCGGTCTCTAATCTAGCTACCTCTCTCTGTAAGTGCTTCACCAAGGCCTTGTCAGACATCAGCACATTGACTTGTGCATTAGTGGTCACTTCCTTAGCACAACAAGCAAACAAGAGAGTATTCCGTGATTGCTCAACATGACACCTTGCTGGGCTCAAGTTGCATACTATAGCAGTTCTTGCATTGCCACCCAAGGCTGGCTGCAGAATCCGTGTTAGCTTAGAATCTCTATAGTTAATGTGACCAATTCTCCCTTTACTGTTACAAGAAAATCAAAGCAATGGTTTACAGTATGCCACTGTGTTTTGTTCAATAATTTATAGTGTTAAAAATGTCATTTTGATAATGACCTAAATATGACTAAGAATGTAATGACTTGAAATGACTTTCGATGTACAATGATCAGAATGTTATTTGACCAGTGGTGAATGCAGATGCTCTATTTTACATTACAGTGACCGTGGTAAGATTTTTGCAGTGACTATGCAGTGACCGTGATGTCCAGTTTAAAGCTTTCTATAAAAAAAACAAATAGTGATGCTAATTCAGTCCAAAAGCTCAGTTCCTTCGTATGACATTATATCCCCTTATTGAATGTCATTTGCGAAAACTCTGACTTGTCAAGGGGCTAATTTGTTATTTTTAGAAATCGCAAGGAGCACTTGTAAATTTGACCAAACCCCTTGGGTAAATTTATTAAGCAACTAGCCATTATAAATTTTAGGCTATCTATATCCAACAAAGTTGGTGTCAGGGTGCTGATAAACTGATATTATGAGTAAAAGCGGGGATCAACCTTAGCTTGCGAATGACAGTTCCAAGAGTGAGCAAACTACGGTTTATGTGACAGCCTTCCTTTAGCCTTTGACCAACAGATAAAGCCTGAGATGCCCGCTCACTTCCAGCAAGATCAACAAAGTTCTGCATTTAGATAATTGAGGTCTGGAGGTTAGGAAGGGGTAAAATAAAAAGTTGTCCGTGGCAAATCAATAGTTACGTACCACACTTGCAGTTAAGGTTGTTTTTTTGTCATTCCCTATAAACTCACGAGCAGAGCTTTCAATTGTCTACGGAACAACAATTCATTAGTTCAGAATAAAAACATTAGGAGTCCAAACAAATAAGAAGTATTACTAGTAAAGAAAGGAAAGGATGCATTCATACCAATTTCAGGATTTGATGGGATCTGGAGCTTGTCTCATTCAGGTGAGTCTCCCCAATTTGTCTTTGAGCTGTGAGAATCACAAGGACGTGTAAAAGAAATACTCCGTAGAAAATTATAAATTCTGACCATTATTGTTAATATATAATAACACATACCTTCACATATGGATAGGAGCTCCTTCAGATGACTCCAATCTCTGAGGGTTTCCTCTGTTATTTTCTCAACGATCGTCCCTTTCTAATGAATTAGAAATCCTCAGGAAAAGAAAAAAAAGTAATGTAAACTAATCACACATACATGAGAGAAGCCTAATCTCACCTCTGGATCATCAAGCAATCTTAGGGGAGAACTATCTGAGCTGAGGAGGTCTCTAACTACTTCATTGTAGATTTCCATTGCAGAAAACTTTAATATGAATGCCCTTTCTTCATGCTGGACACATAGACAAAAGATTATCAGGATTTTTATTTCTGAACAATAATGTAAAACTGAATAACGTGATCGATCCCAACTAATAAAACTTAAGCCGACACTGGAGTTAAAATCTATTGTTTATATAAAGGTATACATTATTATATTGAAAAATAATGAACATTATATGGCTAAAATATAAATTATGGACAAAAGTGTGACTTTAATACTTAACCATAGTGGTATTTTCACACTAATTGTAATGACCGTGGTGAAGTTCAATATTGTACTGCAGTGATCATGATCTCTCAATGACATTAGGACCATGAATTCTATTTTAGTAATATTATAGGAAATCATAGATGTTATATATCTCAAGATTGTGACCAACTTACCTTTTGAATATAATCATATATATCTGCTACAGTGTACTCTGTGATTCCATTCATGGTGTAAGTTTTGCCACTGCTGGTTTGTCCATATGCAAAAATAGTTGCTGAATGGAAATTCAGGAAAATCATAAGTTGCCTGTTTGGCCAAGTGAGGAATTGTTAATTAGGATGTTTTTACTTGGACTGTAATCTGCCCCAGACCAGACCAGTCCAAACCAGACCAGACTTTAGTAGTTATAAAAATACAAAGAGACCAGACATTACCAGACCAGACCAGTTCAGACTAGACCAGACCAGCAAATTACAGTCCAAGTAAAAACATCCTTAATAATCATTTGAAGGAAATAAAGTTTAAATTACTACTCACAGTTGATACCACTAACAACCGAAAGGGCAATGTCTTTCGTTCCCGCCTCATACACTTCTCTTGTAGAGCAGTCACCCCTGAATACTCCATCTACCTCAAGGAAGAAGCCAATGACAAAGATGGACATCAGAAAACAATAACAAATCTGAAGAGAGATAACCTTTAAAATGACACTAACTATCAAGATCAGCGGTTCCATCTGAAAGGGGTGGACCAAGATTAGTTCCATCTAAAAGGAGTGGGTTGATGGAGCTTAGCAACCTAGAAGCCTGTTTGCTCATCGTTGCATTTATCAAGTGTGGAGCCTTAACCATATTAAAGTTTGAAGTTTCGATCTAAAGATTAAGCTTATAAGTAGTCTAAACCTTATAAGTCTGTTCAACATTTTGTATTTAACTAAGATGGGATGACTTAACAGTTAGAATGTTGAGATAAGTATCAAAGTAATAAGCATGGAAGTCAAACTATGAGTTTAAGAAGGGTGAAGATCATTTCATATACCAAATGAATAAGCAGTTGGAAGGACAGATCTCTCCTGGATGCTGTTCCTATACAAAATTGTAGTGTCGTTGATGCATTCCCATTCTGAAACTTCATTCCTTGAAATCTCTTTTGCACTCAGTGGCCTTAACCTCACTAACACCAAAATCCTTTCTTCTCCTCCAACTCCATCACCTTCTTCCATATTCTCCCACTTCATCAACTCTTCTCCACTAATGGCCCCCATTACCCCCTCCCCACCCTCCTTTTTCTCAGACACCTTAGTAACTGCTAAGGTCACATAAAAAACAACAGAACCATGATTAAGCAAACACCTTAGAAGTTGAACAAAACAAAAACATGAACATCCTTTTTTGCTACACCCCACAGGTATTTTTGCTGAAATGGGACCCAGATAAGGGTGGGTCCCAGATCCCATTCAGTATCCAAGCAAGAATTCAGATGAAGAAGAGTTTTCACCTTCTGTGATGATTCCAAGAAAAGCTAGCTGATGATGATGAACTTAGAGATGGCCGGATGGAGTCATCCATTTGAATGGCCACAGGCCCACAACTCACAATCTGTGATTCAATTCCCCTTCAGAAAGCTACGAACATTCTACATTAAACAATATCAGATCCATTGACCAATATTCTATGTAGTTTGCCGGGTTTTTTATTTATTACGGTATTCATTAAAGAATTCAAAGAAGTAATTTTTATGGGGTGGGGGAATATTCTATTTCCGGCAGCAAAAAAATTAATGTGAAGTCAAGTTAGTGTGAGCTTCAAGCTGGAAACTTTAAATTAATCGCACTCATAGAGTTTTGGTAAAGCGACGTATAAAGCAAAAAAAAAAAAAGTAAAGTAAAAAAGGTAAGGAATTCAAGAAATATAAAAGGTGAAAAGAAACAGATATTGTGCAGTGGACAGTGGGGAAGAACACAAAAGAAAGAAAAATTCTCTCAAAACGCAAATGGAGACGATGAAAGAACACAAACGGTAACTGACATAGTGGTCGGTTTCATGGTGCGTCAACGTCTCTTTTCGTGCGCCGGTGCGAACCGACCCGACCGACAGTTATTAGCCGAAGATTTTGGCCTTGCGAAATTTCTTGTCGTCGGCCACGTGGCCGCATGACACTGGTTTAAGGTGCATGCATTTATCTATGATGATTTTTTTGGTAAATGTTTGAATTTGGTTAAATTCTGTCGGATATCATCAAATTGGTTAAGTTTAGTCAACTATTTTTTTCGAAAGGAAGTTTAGTCAATTGTTGGAAAACTCTTTTTTATGTAAAAAGATCACTTTATAACATTTTAACAGTTTTGATAAAAGAAAAGTTCATCTTATCTACTATGTTGGTGTAAAAAATATCTAATGCGTATTTCAATTTTCAATAGTTTTAAACGCACTTCCATTATGCGCAACGGTTTGTTTTGTGTAAAGATAGCATTTTATGAGTAAATCGAGCCTAACTGGAGTAAGTAGGCTTTTGATTTCGAAATTTGGTGTATAAGGGACACATCCCGCAATATTTATTAAAACAAGTTTGGATATGAGTTTTAGAATGCAAAATTGCAAGTTTAAATAAGATGTTGCAAGCTGGAGCCAAAATTTCATTTGTGCTTTATGATATATTATGGCGTGTGTTTTAGATTTTGTGTGAGACATTTGGAATAGAATATGGGGGTTGCTGGTTTTCAAAGGAAGGCCCTTAAAAGTTAAAACCACATTATGGAAATGTGCAAGGGCTACTACCATCAATAACCTCATATATAATACATCAGCTATTCAACAACGTAGAAAGTTGGATGAAAATTTATATATCAGTGACTAACAGATGTTGATAAACACCATGTCCATGTCACACTTCTCAAGTACCCCACATTGTGACACTTTAGAAAATAATCATTGTGAGATCTCTAATTAAGTGATTCTTGAGGCACTAGATCAATGATTAATTACTTGTTTAGAAAATTACTCATGATTATAATGAATGAATGAATGTAGAGGAAAAGGGGGGAAGTAGAGTGGGGGGTTATGCCCTGGGATAGCTAAGAGAGTAGAGGTAACTCAAAAGCAGGTTGTGGGATATTTAGGGTATCAAAGTAATCAAAACGAGTATGAAATTAGAAGTACGTTGGGAGGCTTACCCAAGTGGTAGCCCTAAATAAATTTGCACCTGTTCTCTTGGCTTGGCTGCTGAAGCTGTTGTGGAAACCACTCTTCCACAGGATCTTGGACGCGGGTATAGGACCGCAAAGCATGGTCCAGGGTCTCCGCTGCACTGTCGCACACTTTGCACTCTTTCGGCACTGACACACCCCTCTTCGTCAAGTTGTCAACAGTTGGTAAAGACCCATCCAACACCTGCTAGGCAAAATATTTAAATTTAGGTGGTACCTGTAGTTCCCACAAACGTGTCTAGCCACTCCCTCCCCCTGAAGGCGGGATAAAGGTTAATCGTTTATAGCAACTTTTAACGGAAAAGAGTCCATCGTTTTCTCCCGTCCACCAGTATTCATCCCTCCTGACCACTAAACTAACATGCATGTTTAACATTAAAGCATTCTCTTTATTATTAAAAGTGGATAATATTTTCTCCCGATTCCAACTCTTGTACTATATCGTAAAGCTGCCACATTTATATCGCGAATGCTCGTTGGTCTAGCCGATTGAATTCTTTTGGATCCGTGTCCCGGGAGCCAAGCGTCTGTCCAAACTTGCACATCTCTCCCATTCCCCACCCTTCGTCTAACGTTATTTTGTAGGATCGGTTATGTCTAAAAAAAATACTCCGTCAAATGAAGGACAGGTTGCTCCCTAGTCGGGCTTTCAGGAACTCAGTATTAGGAAAATGTCGTGCTTTAAGTACCCGGCTCATCAGCCTTGTTTCGCGAGCATAGCCAAGTTAAACTCTCAAAGTCTTCTAAAACCAATCCCCTTCACCTTTCGGTTTACACAAGGCCTCCCAACGTCGCCACTTTATGCCTTTCTGGTCAAATTTTGTTCCTTTGCACCAGAACTCATTCATTAATTTTTCAGTTTCGTCACATAACTCCTTTGATAGTAGGAACATGTTCGTCGCGTATGTTGGCAATGCTTCGACAACATTCTTGATTAGAACAACTCGCCTGACTCGTGAAAGGAACCTGTTGTTCCAATTTTTAATTCTATTAAAAAATTTGTCCCGAAGATAACCCTAAATGGCTGATTTATTCCTGCCCACCAAAGTTGGCAACCCTAAGTAGTTGTTCTGTGCTCCTTTCCTCGGGATTCCAAAAAAATTATAGCTTTCCCCGATGCTCTCTCATACACTTGCAAAATTTGTTTTATAGTGCCAAAATTGAAATTATTAGCTTTAAAAGATTTAAAAAAACGGTCATCTGCGAATACCAAGTGAAAGTTAATAAATGGGGAGTTCCCTTCAAAGCAAATGAGGAGTAAATTGAAGAAACGGAGAAAAAAGTGAAAAGTAAAAGATGGGTTTCGAACCCTGATCACAAGTCAAAGGAAAGGTCGGGGATCAACCAGTGAGCTGAAATGTCAAACTATGCAATGCTAGCTAGAGATTTATTTAACATGCTTTTATCAAAGAAGTCCAAGAGCGGGTTAGAACCTACAACCTCCGAAACGCCAGATCACCCAACTTTCGTTACGCTTGTTTACACTTGGTTGCACCTCTTAGTAGTTAATGATTTGTCACCTTATCATTATATGGTCTTAATCCATCTTCTTCCACACAAAACTTTGAACTATCCTCTCTCTAAACATCCCAGAAATATTTTCTTTCTCTTCTCTCTTAATTTCTCAACCCCAAATCATCTACCCATCTTCAACCATAACTAGTCACTTTCTTATTCAAGATTAGTAACAAAGCTCCAAGGATTGCCATCTATCACAAGCTTGATCTTCCGTATCTCTTTGAATCTTGTATCTTAATCATGAATTCATCTTTTTTCTAAGTTGCCCAGCACGTATAGCTAAATAAATTTGGGGGCTAGAAATTGGTTTATTAATTGTTCTTATCATGTTTTAATTTGCATTGATTTTAACTGCTAAGTTTATTCTATTTAGATTGTTGTGTCCAAAAACATAATTTATGTTGTGTTTGTGATATATATTATGAATACTCAATCATAAACATATTACAGAGTATTTGTTAATACTCAAATGAACACTTTGTGAACACACCGTTGAACTTCTTTTATTTTGTTCTAGATTGAAGTTTTACGGGTGAATTTAATTATTTAATTATATTATTTACATCACGGGGTTGGGTAACTAATGTAGTTAATAATTAAGGTTTATGTTGCACTTAAACAATTAGTCTCGTTTTGACCATCACTAAGGAATGATAACTAGTTACTTATTTTAAATGACTTGTGTTGGGTCCTAAAATATTTATCTACAACTCCTCACAATTTATCTAAGAATAAAATTAACAATTACGTCTTTCACATAATCATTGAACAATTACTTATCAATTTCTACCCCTTCTTGCTATTGATTGAACTTTGTGTTGATAAAAATCTCTTATCTCAATCACTTTTATTTCATTTCTTTTCCAAACAAAAAAAACAAAAGAAATGCATTCTCAACTTTAATTTTTAGTTTGTGCTTAATTATTTTATTTTCCCACTTTTTTGTGGTTTGACACTCTACTTCTTTAGATAAAAAAATAGTTGTGTGTCCAATATATGCTACACATCAGCTGCTTAATTATCATCAGTAACTTTTTTTATGTAACCTAAAGTATTATTTTGACAAAATAAATAAATATCCATCTCAACTATACCCCTTAGAATGTATATATTCATGAACTTTTTTTAAAGTAATCACAAAAATGTAAAATACGGATATGTACACTCATTCTCCTATTATTTAAGACATATTTATTCCTTTTTTATTTGTTCTAGCATGCTTGCATTTTTTTCATGTAATATGTTATCTCCCCCCAGCTATTATATTATTTTAAATCAAATAGCATTTTTCATGTAATATGTTATCCCCCCCAACTGTTATATATTATTTTAAATCAAATGGCATTTTTTTAATAAAAATCCCAAAATTACACTTTTCAATTCCAAAAGTATTATTCTCTCTCTACAACATGCAGGGTTTGTTTCCCGTTGAGTTGTTCGTGTGGCATTGACTCGATCTTGGAGTTCGATCATGCTACTTCGTTGTTTGGTTGGATTTTGTTTGTGCTTTAGGAGTGGGTGGTTTTCATGGATTGTTGTGGGTTGTCGCTAGTTTCCGTATCTCACCGATTCATCCATAGTTTGACTTTACAAGTTGGGATCAATGCAAGATCTCGTGCATAATTATCAAGGTTTGGTCCTTGATAAAAAAAAAAGGGAAAAGTACGGAAAATGTACTTGTGGTTGGGCCCATTTTCAGATAGGGTCATGTGTTTCATTCTTTATCAAAGTGGTTCATGTGTTTGAATTCTGTTATCACAAGAGGGTCACGCCGTTAAAAACGTATGAAAAAGACCGTTAAAGTAACTCCAATTTTCAAAAGTGCCCGGAAAATTAAAAGAAAAATACCGAAAGGTGCGTCTCGTCAAGATGACCTATAAACCACATTCGCCTTTGGATTTTTCAGATCTGTTTGGATTATTTTTAAAAATGATTTCGCTAATATCACTTTTCCGATGGACTTTCCGGTGACAAGAGTGGCTGAAAACAAAAAAGAAACATGACCTAGCGGTTGTCTTATTGAGGCGCACCTTCCGGTATTTTTCTTTTAATTTTTCGGGCACTTTTGAAA